GTCAAGTTGATAGAGATAGAAATGAGAATGGAGGTTCCGGGGGCAGGGAGGAGGGTTATAAATGGAGAGTGACTGTATAATGGGTATCAAGTTTCAGTTTGGAAGATGAAAAGTTTGGAGAAAGATAGTAGTTATGGTTGCACAACATGAAATGGATTTAATGCCTTGGAATTGTACAATTAGAATGGTGGAAATGGTAAAAAAAAAATAATCTGCAAAAAATCAACATGAGAGTAGCCTGCACCCTTCTGAACAGGAAGTGTTCTGTCAGATATTAAATCATCTTATCGTGCTGCACTGAAAAAACAATGTGATGCTGGCACAGGATCAGATAGAGTTAAGGGAACACAAAAGAGGCTAGAACACCTATGAATTTAATGCACAATAAAACAGTTGGAGAAGACAATTCATTCCATAGATGGTGCTACTAGCCATAAATAAAATATATGTAGACAAAAAGGTTCATCCTCATTAATAATTAACAAAGTGGAAATTAAAACAAGACATGACTTTTCACCCATAAGCTTACAAAGTTCTTAACAATAGAAGGAGGATAACGCGAGCTACTGAACCTAGAAACCATGAAACTGGAGACTTGATTGGTGGAGCAGGCTTGCAATCTGGAAAAAATAAATTTGATTCCATTATTCAGTCTTATCAATAACAATTATAGATTTAATGTTATTTTATTTTTTAGAAAGATTACTTATTCCTCAAAATTAAAAATACTCATACTTTCCAAACTTTGCAATTCTACTTCTGGGTATATGACCTAAGTATATATTTACACAGGTACATAAGGATATATATGTATATGTAACAATAGTCACTACAATTTTTATTTTATTTAAAAAATTTTTAAAATTTATTTTTCTGGCAGATGTTTCTCCTTTTATCCCCATTGACACCCTCCTCCTGACCCTTCCCCCCTCACGCCTGTTCCCCAGCATTGTTGTCTATGTCCATGGTTACGCATACATGCATGTAAGTTCTGTGGTTTATCTCTTCCCTCCCCCTTGACCCCCCTTCTGAGGTTTGTCAGTCTGTACCTAACTTCTATGTCTCTGGGTCTATTTTGTTCATCAGTTTGTTTTGTTCATTATATTCCACAAATAAGTGAGATCATGTGATATTTGTATTTCTCTGATTGGCTTGTTTCACTCACTATAATTGTATATTTTATACTGGAAACTCTAGAAGTTAATTAATAATAAATCATAAAAATAATGAGTTCAAAGTAAATATATGTATTTAAAATATACCATCCAGGTAGTATCATATCAAATAATTTCTATCCTTTTCTTTTCTGCTGAATATTTCATGAACAGTTTTTTCATAGCACAATCCAATCTACTTTGTCACCATTATATGTTGCTATCAGTCCTTTTCGTATAGTTCTTTTCTAATGATAAAAATGGATTAATAATACCATGAGGAATTTTGATTTTTAAAAGAGATCCTTGTCATTTTTTTCTATTCATAAACTTTTTCTCACAACCATTTCTCTCTTCTTTGAAACATTAAACTGTATCAGTGTTCTTTAAATCCTTTATGAATCCTCATGGTCAACTCTTTCAAAAGAGCATCTCAATAAACACAGTGTCCCACAGTGCATATACCCACTGGGACCATGTGAGTAAACATGGATGGACCAAAGAGTATGAACGTCACATGCAACCCTATATATCAATCCACCAGAAAACCATCTCTTCTCCCCACCCCGCAAATCTCACAGCAGTCAACTCACATATTCAAGGAGGCTGTCGGGTACCAGGTATACAGGAATTATAAAAAGGTGTTCTACTTGCCAGGTTACATGCATAACTCCCCTCAATCCTTTAAAGTATTAGGACAACAAAAGATATACACAAAGAAAATTGGACAGCTACATGCAAAAAAAGGAAGCTAGATCACCAACTTATACCACACACAAAAATAAACTCAAAATGGATAAAAGAATTAAATGTGACCTGTGAATCCATAAAAAATTCTAGAAGAAAATGTAGGCAACAAAATCTCAGACATCACACACAGCGGAATTTTCATTGATACAATACCTAAGGCAATAGAAATAAAGGAAAAAAATGAACACATGGGACTCTATCAAACTAAAAAAGCTTCTACACAGCAAAAGAAACAACCATCAAAGTGAAAAAGGAACCCACTATATGGGAGAGCATAATTGCCAACGATACATCAGATAAGGGGCTAATTTCCAAAATATACAGAGTACTCATACAACCCAACAAAAGGAAGACAAAGAACCTAATTAAAAAATGGTCAGAGAACCTAAATAGACACCTCTCCAAATAGGACATACAAATGGCCAAGAGACATATGAAAAAATGCTCAACACACTAATCATCAGAGAGATGCAAATTAAAACACAATGAGGTATCACTTCACACCTGTGCTGCCATCAACATATATCAAACAAGTGTTGGCGAGGGTGTGAGAAAAGGGGACTCTAGTACACTGCTGGTGGGAATGCAGACTGGTGCAGCCACTATGGAAAACACTATGGTGTTAACTCAAAAAATTAAAAATTGAATTGCCATTTGATCTAGTGATCCCACTTCTAGGAATATACCCTAAGAAGTCTGAAACACCAATCAGAAAGAATATATGTACCCCCATGTTCATAGCAGCACTATTTATAATTGCTAAGGTCTGGAAACAGCCTAAGTGTCCATCAATAGATGAGTGGATAAAAAAGCTGTGGTACATTTATACAGTGGGATACTATGCAGCTGTGAGAAAGAAAGATCCCTTATCCTTTGAGATGACATGGAAGGACCTGGAGGGTATTATCGTAAGTGAAACAAGCCAATCAGAGAAAGACAAATATCACACGATCTCATTTATTTGTGAAATATAATGAACCAAACAAACTAATGAACAAAATAGACCCAGAGACATAGAAGTAGGGTGCAGACTGACAAACCTCAGAAGAGGGCATGGCGGGGGGAGAGATAAACCAAAGAACTTATATGCATGTATACATAATCAATGGACATAGACAACAATGCTGGGGACAGGGTATGGATTGGGAGGAGGGTTGCAATGGGGGGAAAAGGTAAAACATCTGTAACACAAATAAATTAATAAAAAAAGTAATAAATAAATAATATTTTTAAAAAGCAGCTGAAAATAATTTTAGTAAAGAAATGTAATTTGGATGGCACACAATGTAGTACATTTTAGAAATAGACCCCATGCAACACAGACTACAAAACTAAAGCGACACAAAACTACATCAAGAGTGGGAAGGACCAGTAAATTATAAGGAATGTGTTTAATTTACCCTTTCTTCCTTCTGCGGAGACATTTGTACACACAGGTGCAAATTACTGCAATGCCGAAAACTATAGGAAACGAGAAAACAAATGACAGGTAACTTGAAAAATAATTTCTAAGGTTCATGTTCTAGCAGAAGAAACTACTGTCAGTTACATTTCAGTGGTCAAAAATGCATTTTATTTAAGCACAGATATATTTATATTGCTTTGGACTCTTCATTGTCTAAATGCAATTCCCTAGAATCACTTAAATAGTCCACAGTAAGTCAGAGAAGAGTTTTTGTTTAGTTTATAAAATTATCCAAAGCATATTTTGGATGACAAGTCATGTGACTAATGATCTTGAAAACAAAAGTATTATTTAGGGTTTTGTGATCATTTAGAATAAAATGAATATACAATTACTAACAAAAGGTATTATATCATATGAAAGGTCAGTTTTTTTTCTACACTGATTTACTTAGTTTCAAGCTAAAAAAACTACAGAAACTAAAAATTTATTAGAATATAATGCACCTCTTCACAGTAATATTTTGAGTTAAGTGGTTTTCAAGTTTGAGATACTTACATATAGTAAGAATAATTAGAGCAATAGTTCCTGGTTCTGAGAAAAAAATGAAAGTAGTTTTAAAGATATTGAGCATGTCATGGGTCCCAGATAGCAGCTGCATCTTACTTTGGATCAGATCATCTAACAACTACAGCAAAAAGTATCAATCTAGTTTTAGCGTGACTGCTAGTACTTCCAAGTCATTTTGATCACAGGACACTTCAAATGGATTCCGGCTATAGGATGTGCTTTGTGAAACTCTCTCTCTATTTAAACACTTTTGTCTTTTCAATTTTTCTTTCTTTTTTTTTTTTTTTTTTGTGGTACGTGCCCCTGGCAGGAACTGAACCCAGGACTCTCTGGTCCACAGGCCGATGCTCAACCGCTGAGCCAAACTGGCCAGGGCCAATTTTTCTTTTTAATGTACCTTTATTGTTGAAAGTATTACAGATGTCTCCCCTTCCCCCCCCCCGTCATTGATCCTCTCTTCTCCACTCCCCCCATCCCTATCTTCACTACTATTGTCTGTGTTCATTGGTTGTGCATTGATGCATATCAGTTCTTTGGTTTATCTCTTCACACCCCCCTTGCCCTTTTCCCTTCCCTCTGAGGTTTGCCAGTCTGTTCCCTGCTTCCATTCTCTGGACCCATTTTGTTCATCAGTTTATTTTGTTCATTAGATTCCACATATAAGTGAGATTGTGTGATACTTGTCTTTCTCTGACTGGCTTATTTTGCTTACTACAATACTCTCCAGGTCCCTCCATGCTGTCTCAAAGGGTAAGAGATCCTTCTTTTTCACAGCAACATAATATTCCACTGTGTAAATGTACCACAGCATTTTTATCCACTCAGATACTAATGGACACTTGGGCTGTTTCCAGATCTTAACAGGAACCTCATTTGCCATTATTTTGTGCTGTACTTACCACACCAGGTTATTTGGTAAAGGTTAATAGGACAATTAGAATTCCCAAGATTAGAGAAAATTGCTTACAAGTGTCTACACCCAGTATCATTTACATTTGTTATAGATCTGCAATACTAAAGTAACTATAAATGTCAATTATTATGAATAATTTGTGACATCATGTCTTTTCCCTAACTACAAATAATTGGAGCATAACATATTAATGTAGAACTCTAAGGTGTCATAATAAATAATTATTAATAACTAAACTAATACCTATTTCCATAATCTCTTCAACTGATGGTTCATAAAGATTGGAATAGCCTAGAAAAAAATGGAAATAAGGAAAAAAAAAAGGAAAGACTATTATTGATTTTGATTTTTTGCATTTGTATAAAATTGCTTATAGTTTCCTTTTAATTTCTACTAGTGTTTTTAATTAAAGATAGAGTCATAAAGTATTCAAAATTTATATTGAATGTCAACAATATTTTTCTTCCAGTGCACTGACATTTCCTGTGACACTACTCTGTGATAGCAGGCAACTTTATCATTACTGTATTCTCTTTTTTTTCCCTTTATTGATTTTAGAGAGAGAAGAAGAGGGAGAGAGAGATAGAAACATCAATTGGCCACCTCCTGCATGTCCCCCACTGGGGATTTGGTCAACAACCTGGGCATGTGCCCTGACCAAGAATCAAAGAGGCAACTTCAATGCATGGGTCAATGCTCAACCACTGAGCCACATCATCTGGGTCATTAATGTATTCTTAAAATTAGCCTGGAATTAAATGATTCTACCTAAAATTTTAAAAAGAGGAGGTACTACCCGGCCAGTGTGGCTCAGTGATTGAGCATGGACCCATGTACCAAGAGGTCTCCAGTTCAATTTCTACTCAGGGCACATGCCCAGGTTGCGGGACAAATCCCCAATGTGGGGCATGCAGGAAGTAGTTGATTGATGTTCTCTCTCATCAATGTTTCCATCTCTCTTTCCCTCTCCCTTCCTCTCTCTCATATCAATAAAGAAAAATATTTTTTAAATAAATAATAAAAATAAAAAGAGGAGGGATTAAAAATGATTTAGAACTTTTTTGGAATAGAATTGATCTGGAATAGAAACACTCTTTGATATAATAAAGTCCATTTATTTATTAAAAACCAAGCTAACAACTTAGGCAATGATGAAATGCTGAAAGTTGTCCCCTTAAGATCCGGTACAAGATAGAATGTCCACATTTTCCACTTCTATTTAACATAATATTGGCAATTGGGTCATAGTAATTAGGTAAAAAATAAATTAAAAGCATCAAAATTGACATAAAAAAATAAAATCATCTCTCTTCACAGACGACAAGATCTTTTATGGAAAAAACTAAAAATTACACACACACACACACACACACACACACACACACAAACTAGATAGAACTAATACATTAATTTGGCAAAATTGTAGGCCATAAAATCAACATGCAAAAATGAGTTGCATTTATATACACTAAAATAAACAATCCAAAAAGGCAATGAAGGAAACAATTCTATTTATAGCATCAAAAAAGAACAAAATACATTGGTATAACCAAAGAAGTAAAAAGCACATACAACAAAACAACAAAATATTGTGGAAACAATTTAAGAAGACATAAATAAATAAAACAATATCCTGGTTCGTGGATCAGAAGACCTAATATTGTTAAGCTGTAAATACAGCAACCTCTATCAAAGCCCATAGGATGATTTTTGCAGGAATTAAATCACCACTCTAAAATTTATATGGAATCTTAAGGCACTCGGAATAGTCAAGGCAATCTTGAAAAAGAAGAGTGAAGTTGAGAGGACTCAGGCTTCCTTATTTCAAAACTGATTACGAAGCTACACTAATCAAAACAGAATGGCACTGACATAAAGAAATCCAGACTGTTGGAATAGAATCTCTATTCCATGGCCTAAGACCATTCCGTGGGGAAAGGGTAGTCTTTTCAACAAATGGTTCTTAGAAAACTGGAAATCCACAGCAAAAGAATGAAGTTTGACCATAACCATACACCACATACAAAAATTAACTCAAAAGGAATGAAAACTAAGTATAAGAGCTAAAACTATTAAACTCATAGAAGAAAACAGAGGACAAGCTTCATGATATTGAATGTGGCAGTGATTTCTTGGGTGTAACACCAAAAGCACAGGCAACAGAGGAAAAATAAATAAATTAGATTTAATCAAATTGAAAAATTTTTGAGTGTCAAAGAACACTATCAAGAGAGTGGAAAGTCAACCCACAGAATGCAAGGGAACATCTGCAAATCATACACTTGATAAGAGATTAACATCCAAAATACATAATGAACTCCTAAATATCAATAATAAAAATCTCAAACCAAATAAAAAATGAGCAAAGGACTTGAATGACATTTCTCCAAAGAACATACACAAATAGCAAATAAGCGCATGAAAAGATGCTCTGCACATCACTAATCAACGCGGAAATGCATATAAAAAGCACAAGGAAATACTACTTCACATATTTTACCTACCAGGTATTAGGATAACTATTATGAAAAAACAAAAAATGAACAAACAGGAAAGCCACAGAATATAACATGCGTTGGCAAAACGGCAGAGAAAGTAGAACTTTGTGCATTGCTGGCGGGAATGTAAAATGGTGCAGCTGCTGTGGAAGACAGTATGGTTGTTCCATAAAGTCAAACACAGAATTACCATAAAACCCAGCAATTCTACTCCTAGGCAAATACCTTCAAAATTAAAAACAGGGACTCAAACAGATACTTGAATGCCAATATTCAGAAAATATATTCAGAATAGCCAAAAGGTGAAAACAATCCAAGAGTCTATTATTAACAGATGAACGGATAAACAAAATATGGTAAATATAAACAATGGCATATTTTCAGCCATAAAAGGAAGTTCAGATACATGCTACTCTCAGATGGATAAACCTTGAAAAGAGTATCTATGTGAAATAAGCCATACAGAAAACACAAGTGTAAAATTCCATTTTTATGAAGTACCTAGCATGTCAAATTGATAGATAGAGAACTTAGAATAGAGGTTAGGGGGCAGGGAGGAGGGTTATGAACAGGGAGTTACTGTATAATGGGTATCAAGTTTCAGTTTGGGAAGATGAAAAATTTGGAAAAAGATAGTAGTGATAGTTACACAACAATGAAATGCATTTAATATCATGGAATTGTACAATTAGAATGGTGGAAATGGTAAAAAAAAAAAAATTAAATAAAAGTTGATCTGAAAAAATCAACATAAGAGTAGCCTGCATACTTCTGAACAGCACGTATTCTACCAGATATTAAAACATCTTATAGTACTACATTAAAAAAACAATGTGATGCTGGCACAGGATCAGATAGAGTTAAGGGCACAGAAAGGAGGCTAGACCTCCTATGAATTTAATACACAATAAAACAGTTGGAGAGAAGACAATTTATTCCATACATGGTGCTACTTAGCCACTGAATGGGGTTGGGTCAAGTGGAGAAGAACCCAATCTGATTCCATATTCCACAGTGAATTTGAGATTTACCAACAATTTAAATGTAAAGAACGCAAATTGGAACACATGGTTGAAATGTATATAATTTGGAAACTTAAAGCTTTTATAATAAAGACACAACACTCATAGCCATTAGGGAAAAGATTGATATATTCAACAATCTCTTAATGTAAAACTTCTGCACATATAACTGACCACTGATAGGAGAACAGGTAAGTAAAATATGGTATATGTTGAAGTTGTCATTAAAAAGGATGAGAATAAATCTAACTACAACCCCAATCTAAGATAGTAAGTGTAAAACGTGAGCAGTTTAGAGAAATATAAACGGCATGATTCTATCTATGGTTTAAAAAAATGAAGGAAAAAAAAAAGCCAAAATATGTGTAAGTACACCAGAAATGGGTAAAAAGACACTTAAATTATTATCTTTTATTTTTTTATCCTCACCCGAGGACATTTTTCCATTTTTTGTTCAGGTAGAGTGGGGGGGGGGGGGAAAGAGAGGAACAGAGAGAGAGAGAGAAACATCGATGTGAAAGGGACACATCGAGTGGCTGCCACCCGCACAACCGACCAGGGCTGGAGACAAACTGCAACCGAGGTACGCGCCCTTAGCGGGAACCAAACCCGGGTCTCTCAGGACCGCAGGCCGACGCTCTAACCGCTGAGCCAAACCGGCCAGGGAGACACTTAAATTATTAACAGTGATTAACTCAAGACAGTGGACCAGAGAAAGAGATGAAGGACTGATTTTTAGCTCTGTATACTTTAATAATATTTGAAATTTACAAAAATACATTTGTATACTACCCAAGAATAAAAGTTATAAAAAAGAATCTATAGCCAACAATATAGTATAAAATTCTTAAAAGAAAATGAACTAGTAAAATTAAGTTAAAAAAAAACACTAAAAATTGTTCACTATATATGAAAAGGTCTTTACAATCAAGAAAAATAACATTTTAGAAACCTAACAGAAAACTGAACAAAGGCCATGAATAAATATATGTGGACAAAAAGGTTCACCCTCATTAATAATTAACATCCAAGTAGAAATTAAAACAATACATGACTTTTCACCAATAAGCTTACAAAGTGCTTAGCAATAGAGGAGAATAAAGAGCTACTGAACCTGGAAACTTTGAAACTGAAGACTTGATTGGAGGTGGGGGCTTGAAATCTGGAAAAGAGAATTATTCCATTCATCAATTTTATCGATAACAATTATAGATTTAATTTTATTTTATTTTTTAGAAAGATTAATTATTCCTCAAAATTAAAAATACTCATACTTTCCAAACTTTTCATTTCTATTTCTAGGTATATGACCTAAGTATATATATTACAGAGGTACTTGAATATATATGTATATGGAAGGATAGTCACTACAATTTTTATTTTATTTTATTTTATTTAAATTTTTTTTATTAATTTATTTGTTACAGATGTTTCCCCTTTCCCCCCATTGACATCCTCCCCTCGTTCCCCCCACCCCCGTCCCCAGCATTGTTGTCTATGTCCATGCATACATGCGTATAAGTTCTGTGGTTTATCTCTTCCCTCCCCCATACCCCCCTCTTCTGAGGTTTGTCAGTCTGTACCGTCCTTCTATGTCTCTGGGTTCATTTTGTTCATCAGTTTGATTTGTTCATTATATTCCACAAATAAATGAGATCATGTGATATTTGTCTTTCTCTGACTGGCTTGTTTCAGTCACTACAATTTTATATTTTATACTGGAAACCCTAGAATAATAAATCATAAATATGATGTGTTCAAAATAAATATATGTATTTAAAATGTACCATCCAGGTAGTATCATACCAAGTAATTTGTATCCTTTTCTCTTCTGCTGAATATTTCATGAACAGTTTTTTTTATAGCATAATCAGATCTACATTGTCACCATTATATGTTGCTATCAGTCCTTTTTGTATAGTTCTTCTCTAATGATAAAAATTGATTAATAATACCATGAGGAATTTTTATTTTTAAAAGAGAAAAATATAAATTTTTCTATTTATAAGCTTTTTCTCACAACCATTTCTCTCTTCTTTGAAACATTAAACAGTATCAGTGTTCTTTAAATCCTTTATGAATCCTCATGGTCCACTCTTTCAAAAGAGCATCTCAATAAACACAGTGTCCCACAGTGCATATACCCACTAGGACCATGTGAGTAAACATGGATGGGCCAAAGAGTATGAACGTCACATGCAACCCTATATATCAATCCACCAGAAAACCATCTCTTCTCCCCACCCCGCAAATCTCACAGCAGTCAACTCACATATTCAAGGAGGCTGTCGGGTACCAGGTATACAGGAATTATAAAAAGGTGTTCTACTTGCCAGTTTCCATGCATAACTCCCCTCAATCCTTTAAAGTATTAGGACAACAGAAGATATACACAAAGAAAATTGGACAGCTACATGCAAAAAAAAAAAAAAAAAAAAGGAAGCTAGATCACCAACTTATACCACACACAAAAATAAACTCAAAATGGATAAAAGATTTAAATGTGACCAATGAATGCATAAAAATTCTAGAAGAAAATGCAGGCAACAAAATTTCAGACATCACACACAACAGAATTTTTACTGATACAATGCCTAAGGCAATAGAAACAAAGGAAAAAATGAACACGTGGGACTACATCAAACTAAAAAGCTTTTGCACAACATAAGAAACAACCATGAAAGTGGAAAGAAAACCCATTATATGGGAGAGCATAATTGCCAATGATACATCGGATAAGGGGCTAATTTCCAAAATATACAGAGTACTCATACAACTCAACAAAAGGAAGACAAAGAACCCAATTAAAAAATGGGCAGAGAGCCTAAATAGACACCTCTCCAAATAGGACATACAAATGGCCAAGAGACAAATGAAAAAATGCTCAACACACTAATAATCATCAGAGAGATGCAAATTAAAACAACAATGAGGTATCACCTCACACCTGTCCGAATGGCTGTCATCAACAAATCATCAAACAACAAGTGCTGGCAAGGGTGTGGAGAAAAGGGGACTCTAGTACACTGCTCGTGGGAATGTAGACTGGTACAGCCACTATGGAAAACACTATGGTGTTACCTCAAACAGTTAAAAATTGAATTGCCAGCCCTGGCCAGTTTGGCTTAGCTGATAGAGCATCCGCCTGTGGTCCAGAGAGACCCAGGTTTGGTTCCCGCTATCGGCATGTACCTCGGTTGCAGTACTGGCCCTGGTTGGTCGTGTGGGTGGCAGCCACTCGATGTGTCCCTTTCACATTGATGTTTCTCTCTGTCTCTCTCTTTCTCCCACTCTATCTGAACAAAAAATGGAAAAATGTCCTCGGGTGAAGATAAAGAAAAAACATTGAATTGCCATTTGATCCAGTGATCCCAGTTCTAGGAATATATCCTAAGAAGCCTGAAACAAATCAGAAAGAATATTTGTACCCCTTTGTTTATAGCAGCACTATTTACAATTGCTAAGATCTGGAAATAGCTCAGGTGTCCATCAATAGATGAGTGGATAAAAAAGCAGTGGTAGATATACACAATGGAGTACTATGCAGCTGTAAGAAAGAAAGATCTCTTATCTTTTGAGACTACATGGAGGGACCTGGAGAGTATTATCCTAAGCAAAACAAGCCAATCAGAGAAAGACAAATATCACATGATCTCACTTATTTGTGGAATATAAAGAACAAAACGAGCTGAGGAACAAAATAGACCCAGAGACATGGAAGTGGGGTGCAGATTGACAAACCTCAGGAGAGGTGGATGTGGGGGGAAGGAAAAAGATAAACCACAGAACTTTTATGCATGTGTGTGTAAACAAGGACATAGACAATAATGCTGGGGGTGGGGGCGGGTGGAAGTGGGAGGGGGTGTCAGTGCCAGGGAAAAAAGAGAAACATCTGTAACAAAAATAAAAATTTAAAAAAGAAAGAAAATATATACACAAATTAAAAGCCAATGATTGAGATTTGAGTTCAACACCCTCATCGAACAACAAGAAATTACAGCCCTCAGAAATGATGTTCTGTGAGTAAGCAGAACCAAACCAGGGTCCTGAGTGAGATGAACCCAGGCTAATGCTCTTCCCACTCCTCCTCCTCTCTTATTTCTGCTGAAAACAAAGAGAAGCCAGAGACAGCAGCACAGGAAAACAATTCCTTCCACCATATCAAAATCATCTCTCAAGTGTTAAGCAGAGCAGTTGATGAGTGGTCCATGCAAAAAGTCCTCCATTTCATTTCTATAAAAACACCTTTTCCTGCCTTTAAGTTGGGATAAAATTTAGTTTCTGTTGCCGAAGAGAAATGCCCAGTAAAGAGAAGAACTGTATGAAGTGGAGAGGGTTGGGGGTGGGGGCAGTAAAAATGCCAGTCTTGTTCTAGAGACAGCAGAAATTCCCCAGGGAAATGGTACTGCACAGAAAGAATGAAACGTGCAGTGTGGGAAATGAAACAGTCCTGGACCAGGAAGATACCATCAACTGTGTCAGCAGGTCACTTTTAAAATGAATGAAAATAGCAAAGTTGGTGACACTAAAAACGTGCGTATTAGAGAACAAACACCACAAACCTTCCTCTTCAGTAATACCAACTGGAGTGATGCTGTAAGTCATATATGAGCTTCCTTTGAGAGGTTACTATATGCCAGGCATGGTGCTAAGTGGTTTAAGTGCAACCAATTTAAGCTTCATTATCACCAGTGAGAAAGGCATTAAATCATTTTACATTTAAGTAAATACATTTGAAGTGTAAGTAACTTACCCAAGCTTACATACCTGTTTATGTTTGTGGACTATGGCAAATAATTTTAGAATCATGAAGAATAACAACTAAAACAGCTATAAATATGTTCTTCCTCTTTTTCTTACCAAAAGTGATGAATGAGTAGAAATAACATTAATTTATAGGATTTTGTAAAATATAAGTAGGACATTACTAAATTTGAATGACTTGAAATAAGAGGTTTTGACATTGAAAAACAATGTAGGATCGATCACTTGGAAATTTTCACTTTCTTTTCATTTATGTAAACTATTATTTTCATGCTTTACTTATTTAGGTAAAAATTCCCATGATTCCCTTTATCCTGAAAAATGGTTGCTCACCAATTTTTTTTACATAAAAATACTGAACAAGAGAAATTTATATACCGTTGAGATGTACATAACGTGCTAAAAGGCTGTGAGTGAACACATACAAGAGCATGACAGCAAAATTCTATATGAGCTTTATGTCAGACATCTGTCATAAATATGAATACAAGATAGTTGATTACTAAAATTGCTTCTTTTCAATTATTCTGTATCATTGACATTTAATGTGAAACCTTAAAAACCAAGAAGGAAAATGATCCAGTATGTACCTTTAATACATGTTGGCACCGCAGGCTCCCAAGTACTGTTTCCACCACAGAACACTGGGTTGCTGCCACTAAGGTAGAATCCCTTCAGGCATTCAAATAAAACCTCATCTAGGTAGGAAAAAATTTTTTTCATTTCTGATAGTGGTCTTCCATGTTGGATTACTGGCTGTTCACACTGGACCACTAAGAAGTAGAAAAATTCTAGAATTAATAGAAAGTTGCTTTAACATAGTACCAGGAAAAAAAAAAAAAAAAAAGATAGTGCAAAGCGGAATGAAAGAAAAGGTGTTAATTTTTTAAAACTTTTTAAATGCATCTTTATTCCAAGTAAACAGATTTAGAGAAATCTGAATCCCTTTCCACCGAGAACAAACAGTCATTATAGTTTATTGGTTCCATACATTTTTTTCTACTGCACATTTCGAGAAAAGTCTATTAGATACAAATTCTGGGTAAGTTCAAATGCAACTTTTGATACTCTTTAGCTCTAGAGATTTTAAAAAGTTCCATGCTGACTGATTATAATACTCCATCTTTTTAGAAATGCAGGAAAGACTCCTGTGAAAAAGACACAGTTGAGCTGAAATCTACAAGTTGAGAAGAAGCTAGCCATGAAAAGATATGCCAAGACAATGTTCTCAAGCAGCAACAACATGTATGAACTGGGATGTTCAAAAAATAGAAAGGCCAATGGAGTTAGGGCCATGTTTTCCAAAATTTTAGAGTGCAACCCAGAGATAAAAAAACAAAATACAGGCTGTAAGCCATTACATGAATACGCAGGGCTGAGATAAAGTTGAAAATTAATACTTAGACTTTCATACTAGTGTACTCTGGTATTTCCATGCTGGTCATGACTTTCTAGATTGATTTCACAATCCAGTAATGAGTTTGGAAGAATTTGGGGAAAAGGGTAAATATTTTGTTGTTATTCAGTGGTCCCTTTCTTCCAAGAGTAAAATCCTGTTTAATGTCTCCCAGCTTTTGGTTACTCTCTAGTGCCTTAAATGTTGTTTTTAATATGTGTGTGTGTGTAGAATTTATCATTGTTTTCAGTATGAGAGTCAGTCTTTTACCATTTATTCCACCGTTATCTATTGCTTTATCTCTCAGATATTTTAATATTAAAAAAAAAAAAAAACTTCCTTATTTTTAAGCCAGTTGTGTGTTCAGATTTTGGTTCTTCCAAGCAAAAAAAAAAAAATCCGAACTTACACATATACATAGTAGTTCACCTTAGATAAACTAGAATGCCAAGGACATGTGGGAGAGGAATTCTAGAGCTATTTTTTAAAATATATTTTTATTGATTTTAGAGAGAGAGGAAGGGAGGGGGAGAGAGATAGAAACCTTGATGAGAGAGAAATATCAACATTGACTGGCTGCCTCCTGCACACTAGGGATCGAGCCGGCAACCCAGTCCAGTGTCCTGGCTGGGAATCAAACTGGCAACCTCTAAGTGCATGGGTCAATGCTCAATCCCTGAGCCACACCAGCCAAGCAGTAGAACTATTTTTTATTCAACTTGATATGTATCAATTTAAACTGCAAGTCAATTTAACAGGAGGAGGTAGCAATATGACTGTCTGTTTACTTATGGGTAAAACTACCTACAAAGTGTTCCCACAGTATTTACAAACGAAGAAGGAAATAATGGAAATATAATTACCTTTACATTGAGGAGGGTCACTACTCCATTTGCCAGGCCCAGAACAGATAAGCTTGCTCTCTCCAACAAGTGAATACTCTTCTGCTCCTTTTGAATGATCACAACTGTAAGTTACTAATTCATTAAATTCAAATACATCCCTCCAGTTATTTGTGTGTTTTCCATTATTTATTTTTCCAGGAGATTTACACAAAATCTCTTAAAAATAGAAGAAAAGAAGAAGAAAAGTTGAAAGATTAAGAAAACATTTCGTAAAATCCTATGAACTTTCTTCAATAAATTCATCAACATATGATTTCTATGGTCTAGTTATGAATCCAATATCCATTTATAATGTTTATATGAGAAAATGTTATTACCCCAAAGTCAAACCATGTAAAAATAAATTTTTTTTTTAATAAATACCTACATGAAATACCTATATCTATCTATAAGGCTATGCTAACTTTTGTTCTAGTCATTATAACAGTTGTTGAAAATTTAGGAGAAAAATGCTTGTGATTAAAGATAAAATTCGCTGCTAGTTTTAAAATGCTTTATAATTTATAAATATAACCACTTATTAAATCATTGGTTCACAAGTAGACTAAAATATTGTCTTTTTTCACTTTCATTTTTATGAGTGTACAGTGAAAATTTCCAGAAGCTACAAATCGTGTTATTTCACAACAGACTGAATCTAGGTGTCTTCTTTAGTCTAGATTTTGAACAAAATTATAAAAATGTAAAACAGTGCTACCATTCTCACTAAGTGTTTTGGAAATCGTTCGTTTATTTATTTATTTATTTATTTATTTTCACCCTCACTCTAGGATATTTTTCCATTTATCTATAGGTAGAGAGAGAGGAAGAGAAAGGGAGAGAGAGAGAAACATTGATGTGAGAGGGCACATTGACTTGTTGCCTCCCAAATGACCCCGACCAAGACTGGGGATAAACCGCAACTGAGGTACATGCCCTTGGCTGGAATCAAACCCAGGACTTATTGGTCTGCGGGCGACACTCTACTGCCAAGCCAAACCGGCCAGGACTGTTTTGGAAATTTTAAAATTATTTTATAAAAAATACATTGCATATTTTAACATGCATTGAGTTTACTGTGTTAAAAATAAATTAATAAATAATTATTTTAGAAACTCCTTGGTTTTCATCTCAATATAAATGAATATCAGTAAACATAACCCACATAAAGCAAAGCTCTTGGAATCTTTGTTAATTAAAAACATAAAGGATAAACAACAGTGTCGGCAGGAACGTGGAGAAAAGGGAGCCCTCTTGCACTGTTAGTGAGGCTGTAAATTGGTGCAGCCACTATGGGAAACAGTTGGGAGTTCCCTCAAAATATTAAAAATAGAAGTATCATACAATCCCACAATTCCACTTGTGGGTATTTTTCAGAAGGAAACAAAAACACTAGTTTATTTATTTTTATTGTTAAAAGTATTACAGATGTCTCCCTTTTGTCCCCATTGACTCCCTCTTTCCTGCTCCCACCCCCCTCCTGCCTTTCCCAGCCTAGTGTCCACGTCAATTGGTTGTGCATATATGCATATAAGTTCTTTGGTTTATCTCTTCCCGCTCCTCCCCCCCCCTCCCCCCACCCCGCGCCATCCCTCTGAGATTTATCAGTCTGTTCCCTACTTCCATGATTCTGGATCTCTTTTGGTCGACAGCTTATTTTGTTCATTGTGTTCCACAAATAAGTGAGATCATGTAGTACTTGTCTTTCTTTGACTGGCTTATTTTGCTTAGTGTAATACTCTCCAGGTCCCTTCAGGTCATCTCAAAGGGTAAGAGATCTTTCTTATAGCTGCATAGTATTCCATTGTGTAAGTAGACCACAACCTTTTTATCCACTCATCGACTGATGGGCACATGGGCTGTTTCCAGATGTTGCATTATAAACAGCGCTGCCAAGAACATAGGGGTGCATATATTCTTTCTGATTGATGCATCAGGCTTCTTATGATATATTCCTAGAAGTGAAATCACTGGGTCCATTGGCAATTCCATTTTTAATTTTTTGAGAAAGCACCAAATTGTTTTCCATAGTGGCTGCACCAGTCTGCACAAAAACACTAGTTTAAAAATATACGTACAATCCTAGGTTCATTGCAGCATTATTTATAATAGCCAAGGTATAGAAACAACCTAGGTTTCTATCAATAGATGAATAGATTAAAAAGATAATATATATATCTATATATGTATGTATACATTGCTATAACATACAAATATACAATCATATACAATGGAATATTATTAAGCCATAAAGAAGAATGAAATCTTGTCATTTGCAACAATATTGATTGACCTATAGCGTATTATGCTAAGTGAAATAAGTCAGATAGAGAAAGCGAATACTATAGGATTTCACTTATATGTGGAATCTTAAAATAAGAAAACAAACCAAGCAAAACAGAAATGAACTCATAGATACAGAGAACAAACTGATGGTGGCAGAGTAAAGGGGGCTGGGAGGATGGGTAAAGAAGGAAAAGGGGAATAAGAGGTACAGACTTCCAGTTTTAAAATAAATAACTCACCAGGATGTAATGTACATCACAGAGAATATATTCAATAGCAATGTGATAAATTTGTATGGTGACAAATGGTTACCAGACTTATTGTAGTGATTACATTGTAAGGCACATAAATGTTGAATCACTATGTTGTACACCTGAAACTAACATACTATTTTATGTCAACTATACTTTGATTTAAAAAACAAAAAACAAAACAAAACAAAACAGCATAAGTGGATCCCAAGGCCAAAAATACTTAGAATTCTAAAGTAAAAATTTACTTACTTTCACATGTGGGGATATCATGGTCCCAATTCACTGTGTCTCCAGAAAGTATACAAGTTAGAATTTGTTCACCTTTTAAGTAATAACTAAATGAAAAAAAAAAAAAAAGGTTATTATTTTCTTTACCAGTTAACAAGATGTACATAATAAAGAGGAAAATTTCATATATTGTCTTCTGTACTACAGTAATTTGAGGGGGAATTTTCTTAAATGGCACAATATAATCAATGTGCTAACCAAATCTGGAATTTAATTAAATAGTTTCTGCATCTGAATACATATCGGCCAAGAGCAAAGATATCTAAATAAATCTGTCATGCCTGTCAGTCTGGCCTCTTTGCTATCTCTGGCAATCAGATACACATTAATTTCTATGACTTTGTTCCTTCCATTCTGCTCAGTCATACAACAACTGAGTACAGACATCAGGACCTAGAGTTTGTCTGACTGGATTCAAGTCCCAGCTCCACCACTGACTTGAACGTGAGTTTGGATAAGTCCCTCAATGTTTCTCTTTTTCACTTTCTTCATCTATAAAAAGGAGATAACAGTATATATCTTATGGTTTTTTGTTTTTGTTTTCAGTATTAGATGAGTTAGTATCTGGCACAAAGTGAGCACTACTAGGTAAGTTTTATTCAGCTCTTATTAATACTGGCAGACTTCAGAAATATCACAGGTTCAGTTCCAGACTACCACAATAAAGTGAATATCACAAGAAATTGAGTCATACAAATTTTTTGGTTGACCAGTTATATTTATATACTGTAGTCTATTAAGTGTGCAATCCCATTGTGTCTAAAGAAACAATGTATAGCTTGGCTGGTGTGGCTCAGTGGTTGAGCATCAATCCCATGCACCAAAAAGTCGCTGGTTTGATTTCCAGTCAGGGCAATGCCCAGGTTTTAGGCTTGATCCCCAGTGTGGGGCACACAGGAGGTGGCCAATCAATGTTCTCTCTCATCTATGTCTCTATCTCTCTCCCGCTCCCTTCCTCTCTCTCTATAATCAATTAAAAAAAATTTTTTTTAAAAGAAACAATGTATATACCTAAATCAAAAAATGCTAATCATCATTTGAGCCTTCAGCTGAGTTGTAACTTTTTTTGTTGGTGGGGGGTTATGCCTGGATGTTGATGAAAATGCAATACATGTGAAGTGCAATAAAGCAAAGCACAATACATTGAGGTATGCATGTATTCTTTAAATCAGATTACGTTTCTAGGAATAGCTTAGGCACACTACTTGATGAAATCTTCTCCAATTATTTAAATTCACAGCACTCTCTCCTTCTGGATTCTCCTTGTACTAATCATGAATTGGTACTTCTCCTTTCCTATTTTGCCTTGACATTTCTCTGTTTATATTGTGTTTCTCAGAAAGGCTACAATTTCTATGAGAAAAATCTGTGTCTGAAATGTTTGTTACCCCTCCAAATGCTTTAGCAGTCTCTCCTTATATAACTATTAAATGAAAGTTGCATTATCTTTACTTGATCAAATTAAAAAATAGTCAATGAAACTGCTTGTTCAAAGTTTCAGTTGTCTTTCCCATGAAGGCTCAACTCATTTTCTCCATAATTGAGTGCATGTGCTCAGGGAAAAGCTCAGAAACAACCTGAGAAGACCTCCAGTTTACATCTCAGGCTGATCCTCAGCACAGAGACACCCAACAACAATCACAAATACAAAAACAATAACAAAAAAACAGCAAAGTCCAAGGCAGGTGAAGAAGCTGATTTCTAGAGTTACCACATTATTAGATTTAAGTATGCAATATTCAAAAAAAAAAAAAATCACAAAGCATACAAAGAACTAGGAATGTATGGTACATTGAAAAAAATAATCAACAAAAACTGTCCCTGATAATGTCATGATGGCAGATTTACTAGATAAAGACTTCAAAATAACTCTTAAAGATATTCAAAGAACTAAATGAACTAGTGGAGAAAGTCAAGAAATTGATGTGTGAACAAAATTGAAATATTAATAAGAAGATAGAAAAGAAATTCTGGAGCTCAAAAGTACAACTGCTATGAAAAATTTCACTAGAGGTATTAAAGGCAGATTTGAGTAGGCAGAAGAATGAATCAGTGAACATCAATTTAGGACAACAAAAATTATTCTGTCTGAAGAACAGAAAAAAAAAAGAGTGAATAGAGTTGAATAGAGCTTAAGGAACCTGTGGAATACCATCAAGTGGCCTAACATGTACATTGTAAGAATCTCAAAAGGAGTTCTCACAAATTTGATAATAGACATGAATATAAATATTCAAGAGTTCAATGACCTCCAGGTAAAATGATTTCAAAGTGACCCACACTAAGACACAATACTGTTGACTTTCCAAACCTGCATGTTTCACATCTATAAATTTAACCAACCAAGAATTGAAAATATTCTTTAAAAAAAAGTACAGATTTTTTTCTTGTCATTATTCCATAAACAATACAGTGTCACAACTATTTATATAGCATTTACATTGTATTAGGTATTATAAGTAATTTAGAGGTGGTTTAAAGTATACAGGAGGATGTCTGTAGGTTATATGCAAATACTATACCCTTTTATATAAGGGACTTGGATTGGTATTCACAGGGAGATGGGGGATGCTGGAAACAATACCCCCATGGATACATAAGGACCACTACTGTAATCAATGGTTCAAAAACCAAAAAGAAAGAGAGAATCTTGAAACTAGGAAGAGAGACTAAATTATTACATACAAGGGGTCCTCAATAAGATAATCAGCAGATCATCAGAAATTTTCAAACCCAGAAAACAGTGGGCTGATATACTAAAAGTGCTAAAAGAGAAAAAAAACAAAAAACTTTAAACCAAAAATACTCTCTCTGACAAAACTGTCCTCAAAAGTTAAAGGGGAAATAAAACAGTCCCAGGTAAACAAAAGCTGAGGGAATTTGTGGCCACTAGGACTTCCCTGCAAGAAATTCTCAAGGGAGTCCTCCAAGGTCAAATAAAAGGACACTAGAAAGTGACTTTGACACATATGGAGAAATAAACATCTCACTAAAGGTAAATATATGGACAATTATAAAAACTTGAATTATTTTACAATGGTTTGTAACTGTAATTTTGTTTTCTTCACAATTTAAAAGATAATACATTTAAAGAAAAAAATTATTAGTGCAAAAACTGTTATTGTAACTTTTTAAACTCTAAATCTTGTTTTCTATGTAAGCTAAGAAATAATGCACTTAAAAGAGCTATTAATTTATACTTTGGGGCACACAATATATAAAGATGTGACTTTGTGACAGTAACAACCAAATGGGATGGGTGTGAAGCTATAAAGGAGTTAAGTTTTTGTGTGTTAAACTGGTATAAATTCTAATTTAGATTGATATAACTTCAGTGTTTTAAATGTAATCCCCATGATAGCCACAAAGAAAACAGCAAAAGAATATACAAAAGGAAATGAGAAAGGAATTTAAACATTTCATTACAAAAAGATGACTAACGAAAAAGGAAGACAGTAATGCAGGAATGAACTCCAAAAGCTATCAGGCATATAAAAAACAAATACCACAAATGCAGCAGTCCCACCTTGTCACTAATTAGTTTACATTTAAATGACTAATGCTCTAATCAAAACAAAGAGGTTGGCAGAATGGACAGAAACACATGACCCTACTGTGCGTTGTCTATAAGAAACTCACTCGAGATCCAGATATTCCATTCAAACAGTGTCCCCTAAAGAGCAGGGGTGACTATACTAATATCAAATAAAAGAGGCTTAAAATCAAACAAGGTTACAAGAAACAAAGGACTTTAAATATTATTTTTAAAAGGTACATATATATAATAAGCAGATATGAGTTATAAATATTTTGACACCTTGCTGATTCATCAAAATATATGAAGCAAACAGATCGAAAGGAGATGCACATTTCTACGTGACAGCATTTCTACAATAAGAGTTAGAGATCTCAATACCCCACTCACAATAAAGGACAGAACACCAGACAGCAAATATGTATGGAAGAAGAGAACTGAAACAACACAACATTTCTGTGAGCCCTCCTTCAACTCTGAGAATTGTTTCCTTTTTTAAAATAGTGTGCACTTTGTTGTCAAGGACAAAGTCACCATAGTTACTACATTTGTGATGCTTACATTAAGCTTATTGTTACTTATAGCAAGGGTTATGTAATTTGGCTTTCCTTCCATCTAAATGTCTGCCTATTGAGCACATATGTTTTCAGTCTCCATAAAAAGCCCAAGTAAACCTTGTCACACAGAAAGCAAGTTGACATCATCATTATGCGAATGCTGAAGAAGAGAAGGAAAACAATGTGGAATCAGTAACCTTTACCTTCTTTTCTCTAAGCAGCAACTTACCCGTAATTACAATAAAAGTGAGCTTCTTTAGCAAATTCAAAGCCCTTTTGTGGGTCAAATGTTTCGCCATTTGGGACAATTGGAGTTGGACATTTTTTTCCTAAGAGAAAATTTTCAAATTCATTTTTATACAGATTTCAAAACAGGTATTTCAAAAAATCAAAATTCCACACAGATCTTTTCAAGTTATGCAATATTATTTTCTTGCGTTAACTGTTACAAGAGAAAACGTAAAATTCACATTTACTCAGGCAACTAACTGCTTTCAAAGAAATTCCCGGGAGATTTGTAGAAACCTAAAAATGTTGCTATCTAAAACCTAGTTTTACATGAGAAACTCATCACTGTCATAGTAGAAAATGAACCAAAAAATATGTAAAAACAACAACAAATAAACAACCCAAAACACTAGAGCAAGCACACATACAATAAAAAGGTTTTGTTTACTTACTGTGACAAGCTTCATCGATAAGAAACCATATGTTACTTTGGTCACAAAAGGTACTGAGGGGATAATCATTTGAGTAATAGTATCCTGGTTTACACTCAAAAAATATTTTCTCCCCAGGTAAATATGAAGTTTTAGGGGTGCCATTTAACTGCATAGACTTGTACTCCGGTGGTTTACCACAGTTACCTAAAAATAAGAAAATAAGAACATAAAAATAAAATATTTAATCTCCTCGACTAGCCGGGACTGTGGCCTGGCAGCAAGGTAGATAGTACAGAATAAATGGAAAGGTCCTTAGTAAGATTTTAAATAAATTGTTCCCTGCTTTTTTTTTTTTTTTATTCCTTATCCAAGGATATTTTTCTACTTATTAAATAGAGTGGGAGGGGGAGAGAGAGAGAAAGAACCGTAGATGTGATAGAGCCACACCAACTAGTTGCCTCTGGGTCACATGACCCACCCGGGATGAACCGCAACTGAGGTAGTGCCCTTGACTGGAATCGAACCCACGACTCATTGGTCCGCGGGCCAGCGCTCTAACTGCTGAGCCAAACTGGCCAAGTCTGTTCCTTGCTTTAACCTAAGTGGTGGTGGTGGATGATGTGTTGCACTTGCTTCCATGAACATTCTATTAGCTTTCTATTAGCTTTTGGTTTGTTGGGGAATGAGCTAAATTTTTATTCAACAGTAAATTTAAGGGACAAAAATCAGTATTTTAGGTCTTAAAGATATATGTATATAGTTAGGCATCATTCCCTATTATTTTCTAAACTCATTTCAAAACTCACTTCTCTACTAAGAAGTCATTTTTCTTCCTAGTGCCATTTTAATTTCAGTAATTCCTCTTCTTTTAATTATCTGTGGGCTGGAAAGCCTAGCATGTGTTAGAACTATTGTGTAAAATAATATGATGGAGACATATCAGGCCAAAAGAATGCGGAGGCCTCTCCTGTACGGTTAAGGACCTAAGGAGAAAGTAGATTTATTTTGTTCTGTGAGGAACCTTTCCTCTCTTACTCCCTGAATTGGTCTCACTGCAGATTGTGAGACCAGTCAGGAGAATCCGAAAGAAGTTTGATTTTACTTTTCTTTTTTATCATATTCTAAATTCTAAAATTCTATATACAGTCCAACATTTCATTTCCATCATGCCCTAGGATATACCTTCTCACAAAGTGTTTTCAAGATTTCTGCTGTGCTGACCTTGCTATCTGAATGTTCCTCAAACTGCCCAAGACAAACAAAAGCAAAAAGCAACCCCAAAGCCCTAGCAATGAACAGCATTGTTTAAAAGAGGATTAATATAGAGGTGAGTTTTGTTTTTTGTTTTTTTAATCCTCACCCAAGGACATTTTTCCATTTTTTGTTCAGATATAGTGGGAGGGAGGGAGGGAGAGAGAGAGAGACATTAATGTGAAAGGGACACATGGAGTGGTTGCCACCCACACGACCCAACCAGGGCTGGGGAAAAACTGCAACTGAGGTACGTGCCCCTAGCGGGAACAGAACCCCAGTCTCTCCGGACCTCAGGCCAAAGCTCTAATCGCTCAGCCAAACCAGCCAGGGCTACAGGTGAGTTTTATTAACATTTACTGAATACACTGAACTAGACATTCCCACTTACAATAGGAAAACAAATATGAGCTAGAAATTCTATATAATTCTGTTCAGATACAAATGCATAACCTCATTCTAGAATTTCCTGGAACCATCAAGAAAGAAATCACATAACAGCATGTCTGTGATTAAATTATGCAAGTACCCTTTGTTTTATGCCTTCAACTTCAGTAACTATCTTGAAAGCATATACAGGAAAGAGTCCTGCCTGGCTAGTGTGGCTCAGTGGAGCGAGCATCCGTCCTCCCATGCACTGAGAGGTCGGGGTTTGATTCCCCTTTCACAAATATGATTCTCTCTCTCCCTTCTCTCCCTTCCTCTCTCTCTCTAAAACAACAACAACAACAACAACAACAACAACAACAACCACCACAACCACAGAGATCAAGCTTAGAGGATTGCCTTCAGCTTTTAGTTTATGAGCTGTAGAGAAAACCATATTACCATAACTTACTGTTCATTTCTTTACGATTCTCATTTCTCACTAGGTTTAGCTACCAATGTTGTTTATTTATTTTAATTTTTTTCATAGTGGTTTATCCCCTCTATGCCCTCTTTCCCCCAACCCCCCCCCCAACCACCTGTTGTGATGTCCATTAGTCCCCTCTTTGTTTTCCTTTTTGCTCAATCCCTCTACCGCTCCCCCCTCCCCAAGCTGTCTGCCTGCTCTCTCTGAGACTGTGTATGTGAGCAAAATCAATGCTTTTTAGGTCGCTTAGGATCTTCCCTAAACAGGACCCAATCTAATGAAAAACAAAACGTTGCCCCAAAGACATTTGGTAACAGAAATGATTGGATATTTTCTACATGGGATAGAGACAGGAAGGTGACTTCATGTTTGTTGTTTTAAAGCAACAGCCTGCAAACCACTACCAATAAGATTTTGGGGCAGCAATGAGCCTGTTACCTTTATGCACAAAAAGCTCTGTGCGCCCTTCCCAATCCGTGGAAATCCCAGGACCCAGGCTTAGCTCTCGCTCAAGGACTCTGCGCACAACACGCGCTCCCCAGCCCCCATACGAAGCAAGCAGTGGGCTTCCTTGCCCCACGCCCTGCACCGCTGGCCTGGACACTTCCACAAAGCGCACATCTGGAAACACCGGCCTCGGCTCCCCCAGCCCAACACAGCCGGGTACAAACTCTCCACTTACCTAGGCATCGCCACACCTAGGAAACAGCGCAAACAGTCCCCACGGGCACAGCACGGGCCCCAGCCACACCCCCACGCACCTGGGCGCTCGAGAGCAAGCCCTCACCTTCAGCGCACGCGAAGGCTTCCCATCCTGCTTGACTCAGTCCACAAACACCTGCAAGCTTTTGCTGGACACAGACCTTCACCCCGGGCAAAACCCGGCAGCACCCGGTGCCCAGCACCCCGCAAGGCTCAGCCTCCCCCCCTTCCCCCCCCCCCCCCCCCCCAGCAACCTTCACCGCTGGGGCTCTACAGGACCCACCGTCCTGGATCCGCCACAGCACAACCCTGAGGATCTGCGCCTAAGCCTTCTACCCCAACTCCGCACCTCCGGCTCGACCGGACCCCGCGCCTCCAACCCGACCCCCCAAGAGATTCCACCCACCCTCGGCTCGGGTCTGCCTGCTCCCCGACCCGCTTCAGTCCGCCTCCGGAGCGCACACCCTCTCCGGGCTCCTACCTAAGGATGTGGGTAAACGGAGCACTAGGGCCACCAAAATTATCCCCACGAAGCACCAAGAAGAAAAGGGGCTCTCGGGGCGGCGGGGAGGTGCCCTGCGCGGCTCGCAAGACGCCGTCATTTTCTGGGAGATCAGAGGGAAACCTGGGTGACAGTGAGCATTTATTTACCGTTTTGAGTGCGGACACCAGACGCAACAATCGCTAGACTCACAGAGTTAAGTAACCTCAGGTGGGCGTGACCCGCGGGGTGCAAGGCTGGGTGGGGCCAACCCCAGAGTAGAAAGGCGGGGCGCTGGAGGGAATGTGGCTTGTCCCTTGATGGGTTCTAACCCACCTGGGTCTGTTGGCGGCTCTGAAAGGAAAGGAGCTGGCAGAGTAATCATCGTGTCTTTTCTGGAACTGGAACGCCAGATATAAGAATAAAGCACATCGACCTGAAAACAGAAACCCAGAGCCTAGACAGTGGGTCGCCTGATGCCCAGCACCACTCGGGTTCCACTTTTGTCCTGGGGCCTCCAGAGTGTCAGTAGTGCCAGGGCCCTTGCTCAAATTTGGCATTAATCAGGCATAATTAGGGACAATAACAGATTTCTGTGGTTGCATGTCTGCTATTGAATACCACCAAAGCCTGCTAGATTTAAAAATCACCAAGATGGTTTAGCCACCGCACCCCTAACCCCAATGTAAATGACTCTGCCTCTACTCCCTTGAGAGGACCCCTGGGAAGGTAAATTATTAAACTCTGTGGCATTAAGCATACTCGGCCTCAACCTTTGGGGCCCTTGCTGTTTAGAACCAAATGTTTTATTGAAGACGAAATACACATTGTCGCTTGAAAAAGGTAGCGACAAGGATGGCAAATTCTTGGGAGCCCTGGATGTCATTAGCATTAGGACGGTTAGGAATTGGTTAAGTGAAGTAGATAGGGTGAACTTTTCTGGTTAAACAATCTCTCAAACAATGCTAAAAAATTAAGCATGAGCAAGATTTTCTTTCTTTTCTTTTCTTTTTTTTTTTTTGTAGAGTGAGTAACCTGTATGATTAGTTTTTTAAAAAGAGTAACATGAGTCTGGCCAGTGTGGCTCAGTGGTTGAGTGTTGACCCATGCACCAAGAGCTCGCTGGTTTGATTCCCAGTCAGGGTACATGCCCAGACTGTGGGCCAACTCCCCAGTGGGGGACGTGCAGAAGGCGGCCAATCGATGTTCTCTCTCATTGATGTTTCTCTCTCTCTCTCAAATTAATAAAGGGGGGAAAAAAGAGTAACATGAAGGTCATTACAGAGCAAATAAAAGGAATTGACATTTTCTTCATATTAGTTGACAAAGAATAAAAACATCAACCAATGTGAGTAAACATATTGACGGGACCAGAACCCTCAAAATTGCAGTTTTTCACATAACTATTCCATACTTGAAAAGATTTAAAATGGACATAGCTTTCAAACTACCAGTTCCACTTAGAGTTTATCCCATAGCAATTATAAAAGCTATGAGCAAAAATGTAGAATTTTGGAAAAATTATAAACCCTAAGTGTCGAGCAAAGTATTAAGGAATTTCGATGGTAGGTAACCTTAAGGGATGGAATTCTATGCAGCAAGTAGTGTAAAAAAAAATATCAGTGTGAGAAACTGCTACATTTGTAAGTGGAAAAAGCAGACTCCAAATCAGTATATACCCTTCTTGGTAGTTACAATGGACACTCAGAAATACAAAGAATTGCCCTGGCCAGTTTGGCTCAGCGGTTAGAGCGTCAGTCCATGGACCAGAGAGCCCTGGGTTCGGTTCCACTAAGGGCAGGTACCTAGGTTGCAGTATGTCCTTGGCCCAGTTGGGGTCCTGTGGGTGGCAACCACTTAATGTGTCTCTCTCACATGGATGTTTCTCTCTCTCCCTCCTGCTCTATCTAAAGATAATAATAATAATAATAATAATAATAATGCAAAAAAAAAGCATCACCCTGGAAGCATCGCATCGCCCTGGCTGTTTTGGCCCAGCGATTGGAGCGTTGGCCACAGACCAAAGAGATGCAGGTTCATTTGATTCTGGTCAAGGGCACTTACCTCAGGAGCGGTTTAGTCCCTGGCCCTGGTTGGGGTCACACGGGAGGCAGTCAAACGATGTGTGTCTCTCTCTTTCTTCATTTCTCCCTCTCACTCTCTCTGAAGATAAATGGAAAAAGTATCCTCCGGTGAGGATTTAATAAAACAGAAAACAAACAAAAGTCCAGCAGCCAAACGATGTGTGTCTCTCTCTTTCTTTATTTCTCCCTCTCACTCTCTCTGAAGATAAATGGAAAAAGTATCCTCCGGTGAGGATTTAATAAAACAGAAAACAAACGAAAGTCCAAGGACAGATGGATTCACTGCGAAGATCTAACACCAGTTCTTCTCAGCCTCTTCTAAAAAATTGAAGAAAAGGGAATAGTTCTAAACTCCTTTTATGAAGCCAACATTACTTTGATATCAAACCTGGCAAAGATGACACACACGCACTAAAAAAAAATTATAGGCCAATATCTCTGATGTACATTGATGAAAAATTCTAAATAAAATACTGCAAATGAGATACAATAGTACATTTAAAGGATCCTACAGCATGAACAAGTAGGGTTCACTCCAGGGATGCAAGGATAATTCAATATCCACAAATCAATCAAGGTGATATACACTACATAAACAAAATAAAGGATAAAAAATCATATAATCATATCACTAAATACATAAAAAGCATTTGATAAGATATAATATCCTTAAGATACGACATCCATTTATGGTAAATGAAAAAACACTTAATAAAATGGGACCCTGGCTGGTGTGGTTTAGTGGTTAGAGCATCACCCCACAGACCAAAGAGTCATGGGTTCAATTCCTGGTCAAGGGCATGTACTTCAATTGCAGGTTTGATCCCTGGACCCAATCAGGGTAGTGTGGGAGGCAACCAATCGATGTGTGTCTCTCACATTGATGTTTCTCTCTCGCTCTCTCTCTCTCTCTCTCTCTCTCTCTCTCTCTCTTCTTTCCTCCCTTCTACTCTATCTAAAAAAATCTGTGGAAATATATCCTTGGGTGAAAATTTTTAAAGATGGGTATAGAAGGAAAGTACCTCAACATAATAAAGACCAATATGGCAAAGCCTCAGCTAACATTATACTCAGTAGTACAGAAACTGATAGCTTTCCTCTAAAGTCAGGAAAAAGGTAGGATGTCCACTCTTACCACTGTTATTTAACCTGGTCCTGGAGGCCTAGCCATAGCACTTAGACAAGGAAAAGAAATAAAAAGCATCCAAATTAAGAATGAAGAAGTAAACTGTTACTATTTTCAGATGACATAATTCTCTCTATAGAAAACCCTAAACAGTCCACCAAAAAACTCTTAGACACAATAAACCAATAAAGTTGACAGAAAATCAATATACAAAAATTGTTATGTTTCTATATAATAACAATGAAATATCAGAAAGAGAAATAAACTTTTAAAATCCCATTTACAATCAAAACCAAAAAAATAAAATACTTCGGAATAAAATTACAAAGGAGGTGAATGACCTGTACACTGAAAACTACAAGATGTTTTTTGAAAGAAATTGAAGAAGACGCCAAGAAATGGAAAGATATTTTATGTTCATAGATTGTAAGAGTCAACATTGTTAAAATGTCTGTATTACCTAAAGCAATAATTATATTGTTATAGAACCACTAAAGATCACCTAATAGCTAAAGCAATCCTGAGAAAAAATAAATAAAGCCAGAGGTATCATACTTCTGGACTTTAAACTATCAAAACAGTATGATATTAGCAGAAAAACAGACACATAGAACAATGAAATAGAATAAAAAACCCAGAAATGTACCCACACATATATGGACAACTCATCTTTGACAAAACAGGCAAGAATATAAAATGAAGAAAGGAAAGTCTCTTCAATAAATGGTGTTGGGAAAATTTGACAGCCATATGCAAAAAAAGGAAACTATACTACTATCTTATACCATATACAAAAATAAACTCTAAATGGATTAGAGACTTAAATGTATAACCTGAAACAATAAAATGCATAGAAAATAATAGGCATTAAGTGTATGGACTTTGGTCTTAGAGGGGTTTTGTGAACTTGACCCCAAAGGCAAAGGAAGTAAAAGCAAAAATAAATGACTGGGACTGCTTCAAATTGAAAAACTTTGGCACATCAAAACAAATGTCAACAAAGCAAAAAAGGAACCAATTAAATGGGACAAGGTATTTGCAAATGATACCTCTAATAAGGGGCCAATACCAAAATATATACAGTCAACAACAACAATAATAAAACAATCTGATTAAACAATGGGCAGAGGACTTAGGAAGACATGTTTCCAAGGAAAACATACAGATGGCAAACAGACGTATGAAAAATGTTCAATATCACTGATTATAAGGGAAATGCAAATCAAAACCACAATGAGATACCCCCTTTACATCTGCTAGAATGGCTATTATCAATATAACAATAAATAATAAGTGCTGGAGAGGATGTGGAGAAAAACGAACGGTTGTAGACTGCTGGTGGGAAAGTAATTTAGTGTAGCTGCTATGGAAAACAGTGTGGAGGTTCTTCAAAAAAAGTAAGGATAGAACTACCACATGACCCTCTACTGAGTACTTACCCGAAACATTTGAAAATACTTATTCATAAAAATATATTTACCCCTATGTTCACTGCAGCATTATTTAGAATAGCTAAGACATGGAAACAACCTAAGTGTCCTTTGACAATTGAACAAAGAAGATGTGGCACATGTATACAGTGGAATACTACTCAGCCCTTACAAAAAGATAAAGTACTGATGTTTGTGACAACATGGGTAGATCTTGACCCATAGTAGAATCCTAAGTGAAATAATGCAGACAGAAAAAGGACAAGAACTGTCTGATTCCCCTCATATGTGGTTTATACAACAGAAAGCAACAAAAGAACAACAAAAACACAAACTCATCGATACAGACAACAAATGGTGGTTACTGGTGGGGAAGAGGAATGAAGAGAGGGCTAAGAGAGTAAAGGGGGTCAGATATACGGTAAGGGAAGGAAATGAGACTTTGGGCGATTAACACACAATTGAGTATAAAGATGTTGTA